CAAGACTCTAGATTAAAGTCTTGTCTTGTCTTGAAATTCAAGACAAGAAATTTTAAAGTCTTGTCTTGAATTTCTTGCAAAAGTCTTGGTCTTGCAAGACTTTTGTGCAACACTACCTATGACAGCCTATGATCACCCTGCATCAGGATCGGACTGAACCAGATGGGCCCGGGTGGATTTTTTTTGTTCATTTTTGCGCCTTAGGTCAATTTTTCCCTATGTATTAATTTGTTGTTAAATGTTCCCTAATAAAATGAAGGGAACTACCTGTAATGCAATGCAAATGTAAATATAGTTAATCCAAAAAAGGTTTTGGGGATAACCTCAGAATATTACCGTCACTTTTTTCTGTTTCATTTCTACACAGAAAATAACATTTAGAAAGAAAAAAATAGAACTTTGCGCCACAGATTGTACATTGTACTTAGATTTTTGTAAACATATGACACACAATTGTTATATTTATTAGCTAAGTTATTATTCTTCCCCAACTCAGTTTACAATAGTGCGTAGAACAGCAAATTTTGCTTAAAAAATAATTAGTTAGTAGTAAAATAAAAAATATAGTTAGTAGTGCTATAATTTGTAATAATGATTTTCATTTAAATTTCAACGAGTACAATCTGAATATTCTCTGACACAAATTGTGAGAATTACCATCACACTTGTTCGATCGTTGTCGATTTTCGAAAGAAATCAGTACATGTATATTATTTCGTATATTATTCATTTTATTGATTTTATGGAAAGCACTGTTCATTAAAATGTTGTATCCTATGTTATAGGGCTTGTTTCTCTCTACAATTTCCTGTCTCACAATGTACCGTTTGTGTCCGGGAAGGGTTCATGTTCATAGTTTCATAGTTGTCGATTTTCGAAAGAAATCAGTACATGTGTATATTATTTCGTATATTATTCATTTTATTGATTTTATGGAAAGCACTGTTCATTAAAATGTTGTATCCTATGTTATAGGGCTTGTTTCTCTCTACAATTTCCTGTCTCACAATGTACCGTTTGTGTCCGGGAAGGGTTCATGTTCATAGTTTCATAGTTGTCGATTTTCGAAAGTAATAATTAAAATAAATTAATTTCTTTCTGGGAGGGGTAATTACCCCTATTACCCGTCCCGTATATGCGCCCGTGATGCACCATAAGCAAATCTGTAGCTAATAAATTTTCTGACTCATATTCTTGTTTTACGTGTAGTGTTTTACGCAAAAATCTTTCTAAATAAGTCAATTCTATTGCCAAACCTTTGGTAGTTTGAAGTACGGCCTTACGCACTGTTAGAATCAGGGGCCGATACAGGAATTTATTTTAGGGGGGCCCAAAACAAAAAGTAATGTAGAATGTGCTTTTTAGGGCTCCATTTTTAACCCAAAAGCTTAAGTTTTAACCCAATTTACAGATTTTAGGGGGGCCCGGGCCCCATGGGCCCCCCCCCTCTGTATCCGCAACTGATCACAATTTCAAATGAACTATACATCTAGCAGAAGCTTTTTGTTTTTTTTATATGTGTAAACTCAACTTTAAAATTAAAATACTTTAATTTATCCCTTTATCAATAAAGGCGTGCTAAATAAAAAAATATTTCGAAATAAAAAACATTTTAGGAGTGTAAAGACATGAAACCATCATCAAATTCACTTTATTATTATTATTTATTATTACGAGAGTCTATTTATTGCCAGTTCACTCTCTATTATTAGATAAAAATAAACGATTCGAAAAGAGAAAAAAATATATTTATACAAGTAGTAAGTAAGACGATTTTGGACAAAATAGACGGAAGCCATTAATTTAAATCTATGTTTGAAGCTGATTACACACGACGAGCCGATTCGTTCAAGACGCCAGTATTTTCGGCTGAACTATAAAATCTCGAACCGGTTGCGGCGTTGCCAAATCTACAGACTGACTGGTTTCTTTTACCAAGATTTTTCCTTGCTCCATCTTAAAGTAATTTTACCTAAATAATACCGTATGATCGAGAAAAAAACGGCGACAAACACGGCTTGGGAATGACAATCGATGATAATTTTGACGAGGTCAATCTCTAGGCGTCACTTACTAAAAACTGACAAAAAATTTGTCAAAAATTAACACTAATAATTATAGAAAGGTTACAAAAGGATAGAACGTTTCCAGACACACAAATCTACGAGTATTTCCAGAGGACAGTACTCTTTTTGAACCTACTGTCCTTTATCTATTGTATTCAAAAAACGTATAAACTTGTTAATTTGGCAACAAATGTGTAATATGTCTTTGTCTACTCACACAGTCCACTCGTTTGTATAGAAGAAAAATATTTGTGGACGCGATGCTTTTTATCTTTTTCATGTTTACTTACTAGCTTATGTTTTGAAATAAAAATTTATGTAGAAAATTGTTTAAGAGACAGCAATTTGAAAGTAAGAAAGGCTTTAAACTTTTAAAGGTGCGTTTAGTCTTCAGCACGTACACACTGGTCCTTCGCGAATGCTCATTAAAAACCTGTCATCGTCTTCTAGTTTCAGCGAGATTTTAACAGCGTGTCATATTTTTCTCACCATACCTGTTTCTGTGGCCTCAGCTGAAAGAACTTTTTCCAAATTAAAGCTTGTCAAAAATTATTTAAGAAATACTGTGGGCGAAAAACGGTTATCAGCTTTGGCAATCTTCATTTGGCATCATCTTCTAAAATGTAATCTAATTTTTGAAATATGGAACAATTAATTTGGTTTACATTAAATAAATTAAAAATAAGAGCGGTTTTTCTGTTTCTTTAGTAGAGTATACCGCCAAACCGCGATATATACTTGTATTCATTTAAAATTTCCCAATATGGCGGACTTCAGTATGGGAGGCTTAAAAAACGAAAATCTCTAGACTGGAATCGACTGTGGTTCAAATCGTTCAAATTGATAATCTGTGGTAAATCCAATTGAACTCTGACACTTGGCTGACATTGACGTTTACGTTTCCTTTTTCTAAATATTTTCATTATTTTTTGAGTTTTTATTCACAAATTCTACTTGATTTTGTTCTTTTATTTAACCTGCAGCCTGCAGTACTAATTATATAGTTATAAATAATCTTTTCACCGATCAAGAACTGATAGGAATAGGCTGGAAGATATTCAAAATGTGTAAAACGCTTAAAAACGTATTAGAAAACATTGACTCGTCCGCAAATTCGTGAAAATAAATTAGTCCAGATGTTTGTAAAAAGGTCTCTAATTATTTTGAGAAGTTTCCTCGTATCAGTAATTTTCAGGTTTGTAATATGTATATGATAATAAATAGATTAAAACTTTTATTTCAATTTCAGGAAACAGCGCGGGCATTTGAGATTGTTGTAAATCAGTTTTAAAATATAAAGAAGGTTTAAAACAGGTTTAAAAGTTGAGTTAGTAGAGAAGACCTAAATAAGGTAATGTTGGTAATGGGACCAAAGATCAAATGACACTTGAAATATATAATACGTACAATAATTGTAAGTAGTTTTTATGAATCTGTTTGATATCTATTGCATTGTTTTTATATTTCTTGAATTTTTTTTTTACTTTACAGGATACACAAAGAATAATAAAAAATACAGTTACTCACTAAAAGCACTTAAGGTTTGTAATAGATGTAGTTAGAATATCAAACACCAAACCAAACCAAAGATTATGTTTTATTTTACTGGTATTCCTCACATTTGAAAGGAAAGTCATTTCATAAATAAGCAGAAGGACATTGTATAGTACACTCTATATTAATAATTCTTTTTTATCTTATACTTGTTAGTTGACACATCACTTATTAGGTATAAAATTTAGTACTGATTCCAAACCTATAGTTGTGGTTGTGACATATTCTGATGTGTTTCTGGCATTTTAAAATAAGTTAATATTTAAACAAACATTTCTGTCTTTCCTTACAGGAGTGTGAACACAAATTTAATAAAGGTAAATGTGAATAATGTTCTGATTATTACAGTTTGCATGGATGTTTTTGTATGTTGTTATTTTTAATAAAGTATATTTAATGAGTTTTTGAGTATTTCTTTTCCCCTCAGAGGATTGTGTTCTAATCTTTATATACAAATTTTCATAAATTATATCTACAAAATTTATTACCTTATAGGTAACTTTTTGCTAAAGACTTTGTAGTTGATAGAGTTTAACAGTATATAAAAGAACTATTTAAATAAGATGTTTGAAAATATATAGCTGTTTTTGCACACATCAATTCAATTTGTGATTAACTGTACTAAAATAAAAACAAATTAAGAGAAATGGGGTGATCTATAAACTATAACGTGAAACGCATCATCCTATTTCCAAGTCTTCTAATAATTTCACTTATTAAACAACTATAATTATTCAGTAATCTTGATAATTCTAGGAACTCTCAGATATCGTCAAAACATGAAAACAAAAATTCACTTCCTATAGTTCTTACGTCCCTTTAACTGAACTGGATCTGCGGTAAAATACCTTTATTCTTATTAAATAATTTCAATAATCTATGTTTTTATTTATGATTTATGACAACCACCTAATAACCTAACTTTAACGTCAACTTGACAATCCTGGAAAATGTTATTGATAACCAAAGAGTAATTCGCTAACGCCAACTTATTTTTCATTAAAAAAAAATTACCAATTTTCGTAACTAGGTCGGCCATATTGAGGAACTTTTAAAAGAATTGTACTATACCTGATATCGCGAATATTCTTGATATTTAAAAAACAACCGTCATACTTAAAAAATTACCTCTCTGTTGGGTTAATATTTATGTAATATTGTCTAACGGCAATCTTTCTCTTGTCATATGTCTATATCGCCAGCGGTAATTCAGCAAGTAGTGTGTAAAATAAATCAGATTTAAAATTAAAAAAAATAAAAAATATGATACCTACTGAATATGAAATCACATCGGCAACGCCAGAGTAAAGCTTGTTCCCCACCGCGAGTTCTGTGAGTGGTGGGAGACCGCCAAACAACCACGACGATACCCGATTCCCGATTGAGCGGAATCGGCCAGTCACGAAATAGCATTGCTACAGGCAGCGCGCGATCACTGTTTGCGGAATAGCGCCGTGTTTTTTCTATAGCGTAAATCGAGTCAGCGAGTTTCCAGTCATACAGTATCGTTGTGTTGTGATAAAATATAGTAAATAGGTGGCTGTGCTAAAAAATAGGATAATGTCTACAGCAATAATGTCCCAGAATGCCATGTACGAGTTTGGAGAAAATTTGATGAAGGTAATAACCAAGCTTTTTTTGTTGGAAGGACGTAAAAAAACTTGTTTACATTTCTTATACTACCTGCTTTTTTTTAACCACCTTCCTAGGTCGGTAAAATGGACAGGTAGGGATTTAGAAACCCCTATTTTCCCGTCAAGGTTAGGCATGTCTTTAGGAAACCGGCTTTATAGCAACAGGTTTGTCTTAGTTCAAGATGGTGTTGCGATCAAAGGGCAACATATAATTTTCTATTATGTTAATTGGCATGTAAACAAGTTTTTTTTTATTGATAACAAAGGGCGTTCAAGTATTATGTGATAAATAATGTTTATACTTTTGTGGGGTTCATTTCTTGAAAAAAATTGTGTCTTTTTCGCCACAAATCTACATACCAAAAATGTTATTCTTTGTAAGCACCTACTTGACCAAAATAACGTATATTTATTTTTATTTTAAGCGAAAAACTCTCAAAATAGGCGAAGAATTTTTTGTTTCCCCTTGACAATATAGTTAAGCATATTTTTTTTTTCGAAAAATTTATTAACAATTTTGAACAGCTCCATACTTGCCATTTGTTTCTAGTAAATTATTTTGTTAACGTATTGTTTTTCAAATCGTTATCACATAATGTTTTAAACAAACTGCTGGTATTTTTTACTTTTAAGATAAAACTACACATAATATGCAGATAAGGTTGTATTTTAAAACGTTAAATTGTTTGTATATCTGTTTCTGTTAATATATAATAACTGTCGGTTAACTGGATGTTATTTTTTGCGCATTTTACACCTAAATATAACACAGTACAAAGAAACATATTCATAGGCGTATTTTTAGTCTGATTGTTTTGGCGAAGGTCTTTTACCTCTTACATAAAAACTTTCCTAGAATTTTCGATATTTGTTTGTTGATACACACAGTCAAAAACACCTACCAAAGATATTCTTATCTTGTGTTAAAATATTTTATAAAAAACAAGGGTTCGGAGGACATTCGAAGAAAGAGGTATTCAATAATTTATATTTATTAAATTAAAAATGTTCCCACCATATCTGAAAGTTCAGAAGTTAGTGTCACTGATTATATAGTCTGTATCTTTTTTTAAATATTTTTTGTTTTTCTTTATCATTAATGGCAAAATAAAAGACGTTGTTTAGAATATAAGTTTCTGTTGGAGTTACGAAATATTAATTAAAAAAATTAACATAATTTGTAGGTAAATAAATGCTTTTTTAACAAATTAATAGTCGAGGATACCCCTCGGTCATGTCAAGGGGTAAACCGCTGATGTATTTTGCTGTGCAAGATTATATGAAATTATTGGCATTACTCGTGGTATTAGTGATGGCATTATTTGGCATTACCGTGGTATTTTTTAATTAAGATTTTAATCTCCCCAAAACAAATAACAAATACATAGATAGTTTTTTTTGTGGTGGAAATATAGATTCTTTTAATTACAAAATTAATAATAATAATGGTAATTATTATTAAAAATTTTTATTGCTTGTGCAATTATTATAGTTAGCGAAAAAGTACTGACAAAAACTTTTTATTATCTTGGTCAAAAAACTACATATGTCAAAAAACTACATATTAAGCTGATAAATACATTGGGAAAATATTTTTCAAACTTACTTTAAGTATACAGAATTTTTAGCAACTTAACAAATTTAACTGTTATATTTTGGCCGGTATTAATACAAACATAAAGGCATTAATGTCAATCAAAGTCATTTTGTTTCTTTATTATACAGGGTTGTTGTTTATTAATATCAGAATTTTGTATATATATACATATATTTTTTTTGTTTTTTTTTGTCTACGTTCAAGGTAAGACCTTTTATTTTGACATTTTATCTTACTGATTTTAACTGACTGTTTTTTATGTACTTAAAGAGTCTGAAAAAAGACATATACTGTCGAAACGTCGTCATAAAATAAAATATTGAACAAACTCTAGTAACATCTTTGCAACCCCAACGACCTAAACCCAAGAATAAAAAGAAAAAATATATACATGTATAAAAGAAATGAAGAATATTTCTTTTCTATATCTGTTCCTCTTAATTTCATTAAGTATTGAAAATTAGTTATCTATTAAGTTAGATAAAAAAATCAATATAAACTGATATCGATTTTTTGGGTTGCGAATTAAAAATGAATATGATTTTTATTGATGTACATACAGGGTGATTCACGGCCAATCGAATTTTTTTGAAAATTTACATTTTTGAATAAAGGCCTTATGAAAATTTAGATTTTTGAATAAACCTGATCCATCTGTCTTAAATTATTTTTAGCGTTACATTGTTGCTGCTTCATACTAAAAGTGGTAGTATATTATTACATTTTTCGAAAATACTTTCATATCTCATAAAGTTTCTGTTATAGTACTAACCTATGCCCTCTGTTGGATCTTTAATTTACACAATTTGTTACTCATTTTACTAATGCTGTAATAGATTCTTATTAAGTCTCGATCTCAGAACTACGTTGTGTCGTTGGCGAAACTACCAAAGAAACAATAATAGTTGTTAGTAAGTACCGTAATTTAGTAAATAAAGTCACAAAATTGACTGCTGTATGATTTTAATCATATAGACATCATAGTTAGAAAAAATTATGTAAAAAGATGTCAAAAATTAAAAAGAAAACCGCAGCGTACGGCTGCTCTTCGCCTGGTGAACAATAGGTGTAGGTTCATTTAATTGTTTTTGCATATTGTTGGGCACCACTTAATTTAAGCCAAGTTAATGTGATTTTAAAAAAATTAAGATAATTACCACCGGCTAAAGATGTTCTGTTATGATATATCTCAAATTAAAACACCAAGATTTAATAAAAAAAACTACATTTATTAATAATTAAATAGGTTGAAACTCCAGTTTGAAAGCGAATAAAAAAAGGTCATTAAAAATATACAATAAATTTATGTTATTTTTTAATATTTAAACTTAAATTAAACATTAGCAACTAGAAATTACCAAACGTAATCGTTGTGTTTAAATTTAAGTTTTATTAAAAGGTTTCAATAAAGTAAGAAAGTTGCAAAAAAGATTCTAAAACAATACATAAATGAGTACTTAGCTTTTGCTCTGAAGCTGTAGTCATTTAGTATTGGTTTACCAAAGATATTTTATCTTTGTGATTTACCATTGTTCTTGGGCCCATATTATTGCATATTGTTGGGCACCACAAAATAAACGATATATTAACGGAAAAAATAAACAATATATTAACTTTTGTAAAATACATTAAGTCTAATTTTTTTAACTCTTGACACAATCGAAGGTTAAAAAATGTACACTCTGTGTAATATGCATTAAAATACAAACCACGGAAATAAAGTGACGGTCCTTTATATACATGTACTGATTTCTTTCGAAAATCAACAACTATCAAACTATGATCCCTTCCCCGACCCAAACGGTACATTGTGAGACAGGAAATTGTAGAGAGAAACATGCCCTATAACAAAGGATACAACATTTTAATGAACAGTGCTTTCCATAAAATCAATAAAATGAAAAATATACGAAATAATATACATGTACTGATTTCTTTTGAAAATCAACAACTATCAAACTATGATCCCTTCCCCGACCCAAACGGTACATTGTGAGACAGGAAATTATAGAGAGAAACATGGCCTATAACATAGGATACAACATTTTAATGAACAGTGCTTTCCATAAAATCAATAAAATGAAAAATATACGAAATAATATACATGTACTGATTTCTTTCGAAAATCGATAACTATGAAACTATGATCCCTTCCCCGACACAAACGGTACATTGTGAGACAGGAAATTGTAGAGAGAAACATGCCCTATAACATAGGATACAACATTTTAATGAACAGTGCTTTCCATAAAATCAATAAAATGAAAAATATACGAAATAATATACATGTACTGATTTCTTTCGAAAATCGACAACTATGAAACTATGATCCCTTCCCCGACACAAACGGTACATTGTGAGACAGGAAATTGTCTAACGTCTAAGTAAAGACCTGATAAGCAAAGACAGAAAGAAGGTCAAAGTTGTAGAGTGTTTACTAACAGAGCATTATATGCCTAAAATGGATCTAAATCTGATTTTATTGACGTACAAAGCCATCTGCAGATTTTGTCAATCTGAAGAAGGACGCAACACATTTTATGTCGGTGCGACAGCCTGGTAAATGTGCGATTCTTTGTACTAGGTAATGGTAAGCCATTGATAAAGGGTATATAGAGGGTTTAGTCTCCAAATTTCTAGACTTTTTGAAAATTATATAGCACTGGAGGATGTAACCTAAATATCAGTAAAGGGCTAGTATATATATCATATCTTTATATATACCCAGTATTTTATATAAATAAACAATAATTACTTTTGAATTAAATTCTATGACATAAGTTTAAAGAAGATTTACATTTGACCCAGTTAAATTTCAATCTTTTTAGCACATGGTCCTAAAATATCTGATTTATAATAGGAAGAGTAATAATTAACGAGAGTTAAAGATGCCTAAATTTTTTTATTTAACTGTCAGCGAAAAAATATTATTCCTGGCCTGGCAAATGTTGGCTATTTAGAAATCTCTGTCATTTAAAAATAGGTCCTATAAAATTTAAGGTTTCATTTTTATTGCTCAGGGAATTTCAATGCCATAAAGCTTGAATACTGATGGCAGACGACACAAAGGTTTACCGTCTACAAAGTTTGGTTGATATTTCTTTTGTTAAAATTCGTTTTACTGGGTAGGTATAGATTGGCAAACTTTCTCTAAAAATGTTGGTTCTAGTAGGTATACATTAGAAAATAAATTTAAAAAAATATATATTTTTGATGTATGTATAAGAAAAAATTTCTTGCATTTTACTTAGTAATTTAGATAGTCAGGTAAAAAAAGATGTTTATACTAGTATTTCGTAAAAAAAATAAACAATATTATATTAACTTTTGTAAATTACAAAGTCTAATTTTTTAACTCTTGACACAAGCGAAGGTGAATGAACACACAG